CAACAGCAACCACAACCACAACCACGAACACGACAAGGACAACCAACGGCACTGTACGATTATCAGAAAAACTCGCTCAGAAGACTTAGCACGTTAGGTTTTAAGTGAGGCAGCTATAGCTGGTAGCTATATCTTAACCTTATATGCACTCTAATTGTAGGTACTTATAACACTGCAGCCCTAACACCTAAAGCCTAAACCCTGAAAACTAAACCCTAAACCCTGAAACCTCAAACCTAAAACCTAAGCTCTAAACCCTAAACCTAAAACCTAAACCCTTTAAACCCTAAGCCCCAAACCGTACGCCTAAACCCTAAAACCTAAACGCTAAACCCTAAACCCTAAAACCTAAACCACAAAACCCAAACCCAAACCCAAACCATAAAACCTAACCCTAAACCCAATGCCCGAAGCCCCCAAGCCCCGTAGCCCTGCGAACCTTTCGCAGTCCGCGGTGTGTCTTCCGGGTCAAACGAGTGACGCCCCAGCGGGTGACGACGCCGTTGAAGCCTTTGCCCTGCGCAGGGAACCGATGCTGATACTTACCTTGGGGTTTTAGGGTTTAAGGGGTTTAGGGGTTTAGGGTCTACCGGGTTTAGGGTTTAGGGGGTTCAGGGGGTTTAGGGGGTTTAGGGCTTAGGGGGTTCAGAGTTAAGGGTTTAGAGTTTAAGGGGTTTAGGTTTTTGGGTTTAGAGTCCACTACCTCTGAATCCCAGAGACCTGAGCCCTACCTAGAGTAACCAAGGTACCTTCAAAAGGAGAATGCTGCATTTTTTTGGGGAGTCATTTCCCATGTTCAAAGGTATACTGGTTCAGCTAGGTAGACCGGACCGTATAAATCATTCCTGTTAAGGGTCCTTTCTGGATTTCGCTAAAAAGGCAGGTTATGTGGTGTCCAGGTGAACCCTATGGTTCTACGGGTTGGGGGCTTTTGGCCTAGGAAGAAGTTCGGATTTGTGGGGCAGGGTTTATCCAGAGCTCTACAGTTTAGCGCCTTGTGGTCTGTGCTTAGGTTCGGGCGCTCAAGGTGGAGGGTGCAAGACGAGCTGCTTGAAGATTCAGGCTGGGCTCAGGGCTTCGGGATTCAGCTGGAGGGTTCACAGCGTGGGGTTTTTTAGTGCAGGATTTAGGGTTTAGGGTTTAGTCTAGGGAGGTTTTCGAAGTTAGGAAGTATTGCTGACCATTTACCGGTTTGACCCCATACTAAAGAGGTGAAGACCGACTAGGTTGCAGAGTTGGGGGATCCAGGTATGGTATAAGGTGATGTACACCACACACAACCCTAAACCCTAAACCCTAAACCCTAAACCTCAAGCGTACAGAAGAAGATCAATCTCAGCTATGCAGCTTCCGGGCCTTGTTCTGCCTGCCTGCCATACTAATACGGTTTAGGGTTTAGGGTTTCGGGTTTAGGGAGGAGGGTTCTGGGGCGGGTTTTTATTATAACTATAGTATAATATACCCCAAAACTACTAAGGCCCCTATAGTACCCGCGCTTCCAGGACCACCATCAACCCTGAAATGGCATCTCCGACGAAGGACCTTGCTGGTACCGATGATGTCAATCATCTCGTCTTGGGTGAACACGTCCTCCACCTTGACCTTGCTAGGACCACGACAACTAAACCCTAAACCCTAAAC